AAAAAAAAAAAAAAAAAAAAAAAAAAAAAAAAAAAAAAAAAAAAAAAAAACACACCTCTAAATATAGGAAGAAATACATTATGATATTTGATCTTGTAACATCTGCATCCAGAAGAGAGAAAAAGGAGATATTCAGTTCTTCAGCAATGTAGATTATAGAAATATCATTCTGAAGACCTAGTAAACTAATGCACATATCAAAACCATGTTTAATTCTACCTCAAATATTTAAGAAACTATCAGAATAATTTAAAAGAATTGTAAAGACTGAAGAAAGTTAGATTTCTGATCAGAAGATATATGTCCTGCCCTATTGTGTATTATTAGGCCTACTATAATAATGGAAGCTAGGTGCATGTTAGCACAAACATTTGAGAATGTTTCAAGAGACTGACAGCTGATCAGAGAATAAAGAGGACCTAACTTGCAATTTTACATATGTCTTTTCTTCAGTGTTTCCCAAAACGTAATTATAGGAAAACACCTACTATCATTTCTAAGTTTTTTACTGAAGAATAGAGAGGTCCCTGGCTATAATCACTAACACTAAAGTCCAGAGTCATACTTGGTTGCTACTCACAGTTTGTTCTTAGGACAAGTAGACATACGAATTGACTCCACAGCTTCCTTAGAAACAGAGACACCTTTGACATTAAGCTCCAATCTGATATTTAGCAACCAAAGTCCATGAATTATGTGGTCACAGGCTGACTCTGATAATGTATATATCTCATGGGATCAATACCCAAAAATTCCCATTAGACTCGGGTTTCTGCTATTACTCTAATCTCAAGAGAGCAAGTATGCATTGTGCATTCAAAAGTGAGAATATAGTATCTCTGATTTTCAGATCCTGAGGGTAAGAATACCATATTCAGTTCTATTTATTATATCTGCATATTTTCTATATTAATATTTCGTAAGATATTTTTATTACAGTTTACTGAGCAATCATTTGTGATTTTTAAATTTTAGAAAGAATGGTCTACATGTTTCTTGAGTTTCAAAATAAAGACAAGATCATAACTACCTGTTTTTTAAAATCCATTACCTAATTTTTAGTAGTCTCTAAAAAGTTTAATTACTTTTTCTTAAAAGCAATATTTTGACATTGTGGATCATCATATTTAATTAAAGAACCAAATGTTTCAATAAAAGTTCAAAGCAAGAGAATGAAGAATTGTATAAATCATGAAATTTTGTTAAAATTCATCTATTACTTAAATAATACAGTTTTACTTTTGCTATTGTTTTTAAGCAACTAATCCTTTCCACAGCATGTAACAGATTTCTTTTTTATTATCATGAATGAGTGTGTGTGTGGTGTTGGAGGTTGAGTATGTACATGCAACAGCACTCATGTGGAGATCAAAGGATAATTTGCAGAGATAATTTATCCCTTCTGTCTTTATTTAGGTTCTGGGTCTGACTATCTGCTGGGTTTGCTTGGGAGGAGCCATTATTTACCAAGGAATATTGCTGGTCCAATCATGAACATAATCCACATAATATTGTAAATTTATCTTGATCATGAAATATTATTGAGTTAATTCCCATCTCCACACGCCGATGTACTTTTTGCTCTCCAACCTATCCTTGGCTGACATTTGTATAAGCTCAACTTAAAATATTATTCCCTAACAATTATGTACATGTATAAAATTTTGAAATAAAAAATCCAAATAAAAAGATTATGCATCATGACCAAGTGAGATTTATCCCAGAGTTTAAGGTTTATTTAACATGCACAAATCAATAAATGTAATATACCACATAAATAAGGAAAAATCCTATGACCATTCCAGTTGATATAGA